ATTTGCTCGACCCTACCAGGGTGGTGTTAATGGACGGGCCCTGTTAGAATGTTAGAGTAAACACTGCCTCCTCATTTTAGTGATTTAGACGTGTATCTTTTGACATGAACTGGTGGCTGGTTGACCGGTTTTCAGACAGCAATTACGCTACTCGCCGAGTTTATGAATGTGTCATCAACCTCTCGTCAACGTAAGAAGGGGCTTTATGAATGAACTCACTATTGCGCAGTTTTCAAACGTGATTAAAATGCATCGATTGAACTCCTTTAGGTTTAGTGCCGGCTGATAAACAATAATTTGGACTTAAGGGGTCATATACTTGCAAAATTTTCGAGCTCATGAAGCCTGAAAACCAATTATCGCCATTTCAGTGCTAATTTCTGCTGTGGTGAATTAAATCTAGACTGCGGTTAATGTTTCTCAGCGCGCTGTGGTCAGTTTTTGCTATTTTCCGCTTAATTAGCGTGTTTTTAATCTCGCAAGTTAAATAATAACTATGTACAACAGTCCAAGACTGAAAAAGCATCCATTCTGGAGAGGCCCTCTAGACAGTGTGGAACGTAGTTCTGAATAAACAAGTTCACAACGTGAATTCATGAAGATTGATGGATAAGCTTCTTTTTGACGATGGGAGTGCACCGCGGACAACCGGAAGAAATTAAATTCCTTCAATGCACATGAAACCTGAACGCATTTTGAGAGCTTTGGAAATAATTTTGGGTCATTTCCAGTTACAATAGCATCACAAGGCATCGTACTGCTTAGTCGGCCTAGCTACTAACTAAGCCTTTAGCTCGATCCCCACCTCGATTACGTATGTCTGAGTTTCTGCAGCTAAGGGATATTTCTGGCTGCACTTCTTCTGAGTCACATAGCTAAAAACATGAAAAAAATTTGCCGCGTCCGAGGTAGTTGAGGTAGTTTTAACTGGAATACAGTGGGTTTTTTATAAGAACCAGCTTCACAGAAGCGTCCACATAGAACCATATAATGCATGAAAGGAGAAGTGTCCTTTGATGTGATGGAATAAAATATCTTCACTTCACTCTTCGCTTCACTCCCCTGCTGTTTAGGATACAGCAAAATCGCAGCGTGAAACACGTAACTCATATAGAAAAGGTCTCAGAAAACTTTATTTTTCATAGTTTCTTTTCGTCTTCATCCTCATTCTTGCTTTTGAGGGAGTACATGTCTACCCTGTGCTACTCTGATTGCTAAGTGTGGGCCTCATTTTTCGACTGTGAGCAATGATATCTTTAAATGAGTCCACTGCAAATCAGAATGTGCAGTATTCAACAAAAGCTTGTTGTTGGTAGTGTGAGGAGATTTGGGAATTTTGTGGAGATTTCGTCCTGTAAGTGAAGCCAATCTATGCTACAAAGCCGAGAAGCACTGTACAGCTGTTTCATCATTATTGGGAATCATCAGCAGTGCGCATCTCACGAAACTCCGCAGAGTCTCGAACCCGCGACCACCCGGCTAGTAGTTTGAACACCTAACCGTTCGGCCACGAGTGAGAAGTCGTTGCTCGAGGAGCCAATCAACACGTGTGACCGCGTGATGTGGATCCCGTGATTGAAGGATGAGCGGCGCTATATCCTGTCTAATTGGGAGTTAATCACACTACTGATCAGCCTATCGTGGCCGAACGATTCAGGGTTCAAACTACTAACCGGGAGGTCGCGGGTTCGAGACTCTTCGGAGTTTCGTGAAATGCACACTGCTGATGATCCCCAATAAGGATGAAACAGCTGTACAGTGCTTCTCGGTTTTCCAGCATAGATTGGTTTCACTTACAGGACGAAATGTTCACAGCTTGTTGTCCTATGGGTTGAATGATCAGATAAAGACAGTCTTTGAAGCCAAATACGTTGGTTTACTTCCACTGAACCCTCAGATTAAGTCACTTTTGAAATGGCGCTATTTCCCCTAGAACACCGCGGCAACATTGCAACGTATCGCTCGGTTTTCGCTTTTTCAGAAAGCTAGTGCAGAATCGTATGTGTGGGCTCGCAAACATGTACTAGGCGACAGCTCAACGTAAATTTTCGATGCTTCGCTAATATTGTAAATTCATCAGCCATCCTTCCCGTGACATCCGTTCTTGATGAACCTAATTTTTTGGACAAGCTAGCGGTTTGCTTTATTTGGAGTAAATTCCCCACATTCTAACTCTTGAATTCTTTTGATGACTTGTTCTTCCGTTGGTTTTTCCCCACCAAAGACCAAGGCCCCCCACCCACCAAACTGTAGCAGCTGGACAAACTATTTGTACACAACTTAGTGAAACAGCGCTGTCGTAAATTTGCACCAAAAAGATAATGTTTGTTAGAAAAATACACTAATTGGCAAATCAATTCGGTTTTCACGAGAGACTCAACTGATGGAAACTCGGGGACTGCGCCTACAAGATGATCCCCGAGTAGGGTGAGACCGGTCGTGTGCTGTCGAGGAGATTTCAGCAACCGTGTGAGTGATTTCCTTTATGAAAATATACTGCGATATCTCGAATGTCGTGCCAACTGAATCATGAGGCGGCCTGTGTGCAGCACATTCAGTTGGAGGACATCATAAACGAGAGATTCAGTTGAGTCTCCCGTGAAAACCAAATGGAATTGCAAATGAATGTATTTCTGGAAAACAGAGCAATTTGGGTTAAAGTAGAACATAAGGTTGACGAAACCTCGGGGACTGAGCCTACCTGATGAGCCCCAAGAAGGGCGAAAACGGTCGTGGACTGTCGCAGAGTTTTCACAGCAACCTTGTGAGTGTTCGCTTCAGAGGGGTTTGGTAAACAATCGGTGGATTTATTGCTGGGCAACGTTTCGCTTTTGACACAAAAGCTTCGTCAGGCCAAGTGAGTAAGTAAGTAGGTTGATTGGGTTTTAAGGC